GCCATCGCTACTAGGGTGGAGGCCATCGCTATAGTAGGTTGGAGGCCCATCGCTATAGTAGGTTGGAGGCCATCGCTGTTAGGTATGGAGGCCATAATGGATGCTTTTCCACAGCTTCAATCAGCTTCAGCACCGTCCTCTGCGTCAACCAAACAAGAAGCAAGGTAGGACTTTCCACTGCGGCCATCTCCCACAAAAATTATAGGGCAGATATGTCCTGAAGTGACGGGCGGACACACCTGTCATCTGAAACCGACAAAGAAGATACAGCTCATCCAACAGACTCATACCTATGATTTTTCTTGCCTACTTCGCTTCCGGCTGTCACTCACTGCGCTTGGCTTTCAGTCCTCCCAATTCACGCACAAGCTCGAGGCCCTGCAAGCAGGGAAGCGGGGTCACTTCAGAACACAAGTTTTAGTTCACTTCAGAACACAGGGTTTAGGTCGCTTTGGAACACAAAACATGGTTCACTTTGGAACACAAAACACCCAAAAACATGGAAGGGTTAGCAATAGCGAGATCACTTTGGAACACAACGCACCTGATTTTTGGGTTCACTTTAGAACACAGACACAGACACAGATGGGGAGGGTTTAAGGATGAAGGATGGGGTGGGGTGGGGGGGGATGGGGTGGGGTGGGTTGCAGTTAGCAACCAGACAGTGCGACTCTGAAGTGCTGAAAGGGTTGCCAGATTGGACAAGGTCAGCATCTTCACACACACGTTTTGATGGCCTTTCAAAGCACACTTCTGCCGCGCAAACTAATGAGCGGGTTGGGTGGGGGGTACTAAACTCCAATACAGAGCATGTCCTCTCGTTCTCCTTGCAAACCAAAAAAGTATCTCGTTTTTTGTGGATGCCCTATCTCGTTCACCAGCGAATACTGATGTTGGGCATCTGGACAGCTTGGATAAAACAATATAACACAACCGTGGGCATTCGTAGGCATCTTGCTACTGGTTACAAATCCTCGAATCTACTAGCGATGGCCTTCCTAGTCGTAGCGATGGCCTCCAACCTACTAGCTCTGACACGCGTTCCGAAGCGATACCGTTCCCGCGTTCCGAAGCGAACTAATTTCTGCGTTCCGAAGCGACCCCCTCACCTGCAAGCAGAGCTGCTTACTAACAGCATTGCTGTTCTGGTGTGAGTTGTTTTCAGCAGGCAAATGTGCCGCAGTCTGGTCTAACCACATCTGACGGGCCTGTCTTCGACATGCGTGTGGTCAAGAAGCAACAGAGGCAGTCCAGAGAAAACAGTGCTTCAATGCACACACTCACTCGCGAACAGTCCGACGGTTCGCCCCTCTAGGCCCTTCCACTAAGTGGGGTACCAGAAGGTAAACAAGTATCCACAAATCGAAAATATCGGTGTGAAAACGGTCGACCTATGTACAAAAAGGACACAGGAGAACCATATCGCTCACTTCAATGCAAAACACAGACCCACCAAGCAGCCAATGTGACCACTGAAAAGACCTTTGCAAGTGGTGTTTCTGACTGAGCGATCACTAGCCCTGTTCTTCCAGACGTGGTTGTGTTGGTTGTATTTGCTGCCTCGGTGGCATTGGTGGCGTTGGGGCAAATGCCGGTGACGTGGGAGGGCAAGCCGGTGGCTGGGAGGCAATCGGCCCGTGGCACCATCTTTAGACCCAAGGCAGGACATGGTCCAGAAGTCCAAGCGGGATAAAAGATTGACTGCTCATTCGCAGATCCAGTGGAGTTGTCACTGGAGTAGAAGTTCATGTGCATACCGCTTGAGTTGCACACATTCATGGCAGACTGGGATTCTCCAAGCCACTGGCATAAGCCAAGCGGGAACGGGCCAACAGTCATACTAAAGGTGCAATTGGCCAACTAGAAGCCGTCCAGTGTAAAGCTGCCCAAGGAGGCCAAGCGTTTCTTCCGGCTCTCCTTACAAGTCATGGGCTGGGCTTCATAAGTCCTGTCCAGTACATCCCCACAGCAATAGGGCGGCCCTGGCGGGCCATGATGTCAGTGGACATTCTCAGTAAGGTGAGATGCGTTGAGCTCCACGGTGACCAGCACGTCCGGAATCCAATCCCCATTGACATCTCGCGCTTGACAGCCACTCACAGCCTCTACATGTAGCACACTCGCAGTGGCACTACTGCTACAAGCCAAATCATCGAAGAGTTCTGTGATCAGAAACTCTTGCTGCCTGGCATGTGCAAGGATCAATACTGAGGCCAGATAAGCCATCTGCTTCATGGGCCAAAACATGTTTGAGCCTCCTCCAAACGTCTCAATGCAGTCAAAAACTGCTCCTAAAATGGGTCGCCGAGTCTTTTTGTCCGGGCTGTTCACCAAAAAGCACCCATCAAATCGCAACTTCTTCTCGAAAATGATCCCCAAAAACCACCCCTGAGAACATCAAAAGGCCAGTGCCTCCAGTGATTGTTGTGTCAAGGAAATTGAAAGTGAATTTCAGGCATAAAGACACACACAATCCTTTAACACCAACAGAATCATCGGCCATACTAGCGATTGCTTCATGGCCTCGGGTGCAAGCGAAGCAGCATTGCCAGCAAACCTTGGTGAGGAGAAACAAAAAAGGCACGCTAATGAGGTTCCTCGATGGAATGCAATCAAAGATCTCCAGCACCTACACGACCTACAGTATCGAATCAAATTATTGCTGTCCTGTCTTTCTTACCTACTAGCGATGGCCTCCACCCTAGCAGCGATGGCCTCCTCCTAAATAGGAGTTGTATTCAGTGGCATTTATCTGGGGCTGTTTGATTCAAGCAGCTTTAGCAGTGGCTTCGCCTTGAGCGAAGACATTCAAGGCTGTGTTGCAGACATACCATATGGACCATGGAAGACAAAGGACAGCGTGGTCCAGGTGGCAGTAGACATCAGCCATTAGTTTGCATCGAGATCATGGGCGTCCTTGCTGGCCTTTATTCGGACAAGTCTTTCTCTGTTTCTCTCTCGATTCGATATCTCTCTCTCTCTCTCTCTGTAATGTTGGCAATAAGCCTAAAGGCTACTGCTGACATCGGAAATCTTCACACGTAGTGCAATCAGCTCTGTGAATGGGAAACCACCTCAAAAATATTCAAAAGCATGCGTTATATACATCCGGCCAAGAACATTTTCTGCCGCGAGGTCATGGTAACGGCACAGAGTTTTCCGGCTGGTGACACAGAAATATTAAAGAATAAATAAACGAATAGCTTTTGGAATGTTGGAAGAACTCGAGAAGAACGCACAGAATTCGTTTCAAGCACTCTCAAAGAACTCGCTTTTGCCCCAGGGGCACGCGGTCGGGAACCTCAGGTATACTGCACTGGCCCTGTGCAGCGACCATCCTTGAGCAATCTTCTGACCTTCAAAGGGTCCATCTCCTCGCCACGGTTGATGATCCATTCCTCAGGGGGGTAGGCCGCTGGCCGCTAGGAGGTGAGGTAGCTGGCTAGTAGTAGCTAGGGAGTAGCTAGTAGCTTACTTAAGCCTCTAGTAAGTGGACGCAGGATAGCTCACGCTTCTTCAAGGAAGCGGCGGGGGGAGCTTCCTTGAAGAAGCGCTCGCACGAAACATTTGGTTCCTAGATTTTGAGGGAAACTTAACATTAGAATCATTAGAACTCATTTGTAGTTGAGGTTGGGGAAGGTCTTGAAGAAAGCAGTCTGCCATTAACACAAGAATGCTCATAGACTCATAGCCCTTGCCTTTATTCCCTTGAATACCTCCCCTCCAGCCAAGTTGCACCAAACACCTCTTGAGCGCCATGACCATCGGACTTCAAGGTGGTTATCATCCGAGTCGGAGGCGTTGCCTGACGTGAAATCCTCTTGCTGATATGACACTGACGATACAAAAAGAAACAGAAACCTCGCAATACTTCTCGACGGCCACGTTCGTGGAGACGAAGGTGACCTTTAAATTCTGCTGAAGCGCACGCAGGCATATTGCCAAAGCCTCTCTCTCTGCGTCCTTGTTCCTAGTAGTACGGCCAGGAGCCCCTAGTAGCATCCTTGTTACTAGTTCTCTTTTTTGCATTGGCTAAATTTGGCTACACTTGTCGCTCCACGAGGCCTCATCCACGATTTGTAGTCCTTCTTTGTCGCCCAGTTCAAGGAAAATGTCTCTGGCTTTGTCGGAGCATTGCTTGCCCTGTCGCATCAAGTGCCCCACATCACATGCTTCTGCCTTTCTCCATCCGTTCCATATTTGTTGTCGTCGTTCTGTCGATTATGTCGATTCGTCGATTGGGCTAAACCTCGCTGCCAACTTGAAATGTGGGAATAAAACCATCCACTCTATCACTCCTGACAGTGCCCTCCGTTTCAACCTACCAGTTCAAGTTGAAGGTTCCTAGTTTTAGAAGATCATCCACAGAATGGTATTTAGAAGCAATGTTTAGTAATTATATATATATAGAGGGGAATTGTCTCGCACCTCATCAGCCAAAGCCTGAGCTTCTTCTGTAGGAAGGGTGTTCTCCTGCCCGGTTGGATGACAATTGTTGCAAAACACACAGCTTTGATGAAAACCATTCAAAGCCTTTCGAATAGGAGACAATTCCAGAGCCGTGCACAGGTATTTGAGACCTTATTGCTGTTTTGCTGCTGTTTAATGTTAAACAAAGAAAGCGAAAGGAACCTAATAGCGATGGTTACTAAGCGATGGCCTCCAACCTACTAGCCCTTTCAGCGTTCTCTCATTCTCTCAACCTCAACACAGCCTCGGTGTTGAGCTTGCTCAAAGCAGCTTCTGCCTGATATGCAAGAGCTTCTGCTTCGGCACGTTGATCCTGGATTTGGGGCTTCACAAAGACTCAACATTTTGGATGCAAACCTTCTGGCATACTTGGTACTATCTCGTACCGAGCTTGCATGGGTCCTTCATCTCACGGCAGTTCAGTACCGCCTCGCTACGTCCAACTTGTCCAACTCGCTATGTCAGTCAGAATTGCCATGTTGAATCAAGAAGTGCAAACACTCCAAGCAACAAAAGAGAGCAGGGAAAGGTGAGAAATCAAGGGACACTGCCTCTTTGGCGCACTTGATGCTCTTGTCAAAGTTCTGGTTCAATGACTCCACTCTGCAAAAGGTTTGAAGCACTGCTGTCTGCGACAGGGCTGAAAGTGGCTGAAAGCGGCTGAAAGCTTCAGCTTGATTGCCCACAGCGGATAAGTCTTTAGTTGTCCACTACAGTAGTTGTCTTTAGTTGTCAAGTTTGCGCAAGCAAAATCATGCAAAATCATGCAAAGTCATGCGCTTTGGGCAGAGATTCTGCCTCGGCTCGGCGCCACTCAGCAGCACGGAAAAGCTGGAGAGCCTGGCAATAAGGAAGGCCGGCTTTTACACCAACTAAGCTCTGAGAGAATTTACATGAATTTACTGCCGAGAAAGCTGAACTTGGGATCCGTCTCCGCGAAAAATGCACAAGCCTCAGCACAATATTGGGCTGCCCTGTCAAGCCCTTCCTGTCAGAAATGGTCTTAATCAAGAACAAAAGAAAAGAAAAGCCAGTGATCCAACACCACAAGTAGCTCTTTGTTGCTATCTGTCGATTTCTATCAGAACCAGCGTCCTTCAACTGAAAGTAGACGGATGCTGCAGTGTGCAAGGCAATTGCCACATGCTCAGGCCTCGTGCTACGAACATGTAAAAGGGAAAAGGAGAAGTGATTACAGCGGATGCTTGTGTAAATTGTCTGAGTTGTTTTTGTTGGTGTGTTCAGCGCACTCCAATCTTAACTGGTGCAGTCTTGCTCTGGAAAAGACACCGCTTCGTCACTTGTGCGCCTTCCAGTTTCCTCCTTCCAGTCTTCAGCTGCATCCTTGTGATACTGAAGACTGCGCCGAAATGTACTGGAAAAAAATGGAAGGAACAAAGGGAAGGAAATGCCCTTGCACTTCTTTTAGGAGCAAGAAGCTACTAGGGGCTCCTGGCCTTACTACTAGGAGCAAGAAGCTACTAGGGGCTCCTGGCATCGCTACTAGGAGCAAAGGGACGCTACTAGGTGCTCCTTTGCAATGACTTTTTGCGATGAAAAGTCGGCACAGCACCTCTGCGGAGAGCAGAGCACAGTCCAGACCCGATGTCCGGATTCGACACCTCAAGCCGAGTGACAAAAAGAAGAACGCCTTGAAGCAAACTGTGTGAACCTGTGATGTTCTCTGCGAACCGTCCAAGAGTCTAAGCACATCTATATAATATATTTTTCAAAAAGGAACCCAATAGCGATGGCCTCCAACCTACTAGGGAGGGCCTCCCAAGAGTCTAAGAGCATCTGGTTCATTACAGTTTTGCATTGAGTCTATTTAGGAGCAGGGCTTCACGATGAGCATGACCGCGACAACTTCGAGATCCCTGGCATGCGTTGCACTTCAACTGAGCCACAAATCTCACATGCCAAAGAGACAGTTCGCCAGCATCATGAAAGAGATCCTGCAAAGTGTGAGGGGTTACAATGACCTGTTCTCGGAAAGGACACGGACATTGTTAGCCATCCATTTTCAATCGCGCTGTCAGAGTTCTGAGAAATCCCTATGGTTCGCAAAGCCTGCCTATAGTTAAGGTGAGGAGAATTGCGGAATTTTTTGGGTCGAGCGAAAAACCCAGCCCACGAGACTCGTCTCAACCGCAGAGACACGAGATTGCACAGAAATCAGAAGGTGCAGGCAAACTATTCCACAACCGTTCCAAATGCAGGGGTCGTCCGCCAGTTGAAGTGCAGCCACCGACAAGACCAAGAAAGCCGTATTGCAATAGGCCCGGAAAGAACTGAGCATGTACCGATGGCAGGAACAGTGTCACCAGCATGCAAACTGCGCCAGTGCCTGGATTCACACAACCACAACACCAATAGGCCCCAAAAGCAATGCACACAGGAGTGGCCCGATGTAGAGCAAAGTCAAAGAGGTTGAGCTGAATACCCCACAGAGATCTCGTGGACAACATCAACATCACCCCAATTGGGCAGTGAAGGTTCAACAAGAAGTTGAGGGAGTAAGGTCAGACTGTGAACCTGTCACCACATACCATGTGAGCCTTCCTAAGGAAACCCAAAGCAAGGAGGGGCCGCCACAGCGAAGGAATGTCATTGTCAGGTATTCCCAAGATCTTTGGAACAAAAAGCTACTAGAGGCTCCTGGCATCGCTACTAGGAGCAAGGACGCTACTGGGGGGCTCCTGGCCTTACAGACTAGGAGCAAGAAGCTACTAGGGGCTCCTGGCATCGCTACTAGGAACAAAGGGCATTCATTATTATTGTTCCAAACCCGTCTGACCACATGACAACAGAGAAACAGAGAGAAAAAGGACGGGCAGCACTCAAGGTCCACGGACTGAGGTGAGCCTCGCTAAGCCCCAAAAAATGCAATTGGGAAATATGTTACTAGTAGTAAGGCCAGGAGCTACTAGTAGCGTCCTTGCTCCTAGTAGCGATACCCTTTGTTCCTAGTAGCTTCTTGTTACTTTAAGCAAGCAAGTCTGTGCAATCAGACAGCGGCATTTGACGGGTTGGAAGCGGTCGCATTTTATTGGTAAACGAACAGGAAGAACAAATACTAAAGAACCACCATTGCCAGCGGCTGATGCAGCTGCATTTCGGTGGTCCTTGGCATCTTCGGCCAATCGCTCACCATCCATCTGCTGATCCTCATCTTCAAGACCTGCACATACAACTGTTGGTGGATTGGTTTGACCCTGCGCAGTACCCAAATCACGTGCAGCTCTGGAAATTGGTCGCAGTTCTTTGTTTTCAAGATATTTACAAGCTCGTTCAAAAAATAATCCAACACGGATGCACGCAGGTAAACAGTCGTAAACCCGTAATCATGCCCCCACCCCAATCAGCCCCATATGTCGGGCGATACTATGGTGTATGCCTAGGGGCAACTTGATGAGTACGTGCACTGCATATCCAACATGGATGTGAAGATGTGGTGGAGAGTACTGCTACGTTTTGACTACAGCGACAGTATACAAGCTTGCTCAAGAAACAATCCAAAGTGGATGTGCACAGGAAGACGACCCCAGCCCTTCAACCTTCTCCACTTTAGGTGCCCAAAATAACTGAAAGGGGCCACATGAACAAACGATTGAATGCCAATGTCCCATCCTTGCTAGCAGAAAGCATTGCAAAATCAGTGGAAAAAGAAAGTCATTTGGAAAGAGAAGGCAGAAAAATGGAGCAGATTTAGAGAAGGCAAATTTAGATAGAGTGTTTTTCATATAACGAGACCAAGGCGCAAAGGCCAAACAAACAAATGTAATCTAACAATAACGATTACATGTCATTTGCATTTAAAAATCTAACCTAGCCCCTGGCGGCCCTGGCCTCCTGACTTAACTAAGTAGGCGCCTACTTAATGAAGTAAGGGAGTAAGCTGCTGGTCCTAGCCTAGCGACTGGAAGAAGGATAGCTCACGCTCGCACTATTCATTTGGTTCCTAGATCTCTAGGAAAACTTTGTGCTTTTAGGTTTCGAAGGATCGCTTCAGCACTAGCGATTGCCCGGCAAGCATGCACTGTGCAGAGAAAAAATTCTACAGTGGTAAAGGGCGCAGGCTCCAGATTTACGGTCTGCAAAATCCAGCGCGTCACCTTGGGATATCGCCCAAAACCTATGAAATTCGTGTCCTGTCATGGCGGCCCTATGACTTGTCAGGCTGTGCAGAACACGGCCAGCTTCCATCTGCTGTGAAGGTCCAAGAGTCGCTTTTCGTAGCGGTTGCAAGAGATCAAATACGTTATACTTCCAGATGTGTGGCAAGTTCACTACTGTCGACATGTTCACTATCTCCCGAGATCGTGGATCCGGCAACAAGCACAAAGAATATCAAAGACTCATATACTAGTGCATTACTACTAGTAGCAAGAAGCTACTAGTAACAAAGTGCATCGCTAATGGTAGCTAGTAGCAAGAAGCTACTAGGGCCAGGGGCTCCTGGCATCGCTACTAGGAGCAAGGACGCTACTAGGGGCTCCTGGTCGTACTACTAGGAGCAATGTTCGCTACTAGTAGCTAAGTGCAGTTCTTCCTCAACGGAATGCAAACCAAGTCTTGGCTGTACTCGTTGGCCCTGCCTACGAGTGCCAAGGCCGTTCCCAGCATTGAACGGCCCAACCACTTCGTCTCCCCCAGCTTCTTGTAGACCTCACTGTTTGTGACAAAACTGTTAACTCCTTTCCATCTCTTTCCTTGTTGAATTCTGTCTTCTTTCATGTTTTATGTGTTTATGTTCTTTTCATTTGACGTCTACATAGACCGTTTTGCGAGCAACCGAAGGGTTCTTACAGTGACAGGCAGGGGTCTTCGCCGGGGTTCGCAATCATCACCGTTCTTCGTGGCAGGCGCAGCAAATGTTGACCGCATGGTCGTTGCATCGGCACCGTGTTACGTGAACATTATGAACATTGGGCTTGCGACTGGTGTCATTTTTTGGGGGAAGAGAAAGCTTCGCTTTGGTATCTCAAAGTTGTCTTTGGAAGTGCGGTGGTTGCGAAACGCACGCTGCTGCGCAATGTGAACCTGCAAGTTCAGGTTTCGTGGCAGGCACAGCACTTTGTGAACATCGATGTGCAGATTTTGCAGCAGGCGCTGTATTTGTATGTGTGCCCTTTCGTGTGTGTGTGTGTGCTCTCTTGTTTGCTCTTCACAAGTGCGCTCGTGCATGCATATGCATATATTATACATTGCATTGCATCACCCCCAACCAGGGGCACCTATGGAATTCTTCTCTCTCTCTCTCTCTCTCTGCGTGGCCGACGCCTGTGGTGAGTTGGGCGCCTATTCCCTTTTCCTTCCTCCTTCTTCCTAGCTCTTGGATTCAGCGGAAGCCTTTTTGCTTTCATTGCGAATCTTGACGTTGACGTTGCCTGAGATTCTCACCTTTACCGGAGACTGCACATTTGCAGACTGCAGCTCATTGACGACTGTTGGCTTTGCAGACACGATTTCTTATGTTTGACGTGAATGTTTGATGATTTAAAGGCAAACATGAAACATGAAGAGAGGGCATCTAACAAAGAGACTCTTCAGGCTGTGCTGAAATCAGCAAGAAACGCTCGCTGACGTACCTGCTAAATTTTAACTACCTGTTTCCTTAGGCCCTTTTTCCGCAAGGCCTCTTAAGGGCTTGGTGCAATCAAATCGAACGCATCTTAAGTGTGTGCTGTCGTATGTGTATGCTCTCGTATCTGTGGTGTCAAGTTTGTGCGCGTGTGCTCTCATCATGTGTGTGCTTGTGTTCCTGTTTGGGATCTCTACTAGGATGAAGTCGCTATTAAGTTGGAGGTCATTGCTATTAGTAACTCAAAAGAAGATTGCTTGTTAATTCAATTCGCTCTTTGATCTTTGTCAATACCTTTTGTGTTGCAGACGGGGCCTCACTGGCTTGGCGCATGGTCGCAGCAGCGGCTTCCAAAGACTCCTCTCGTGCCTCGCTAAAGGGAGACGCCAAGGCTTTTGTCAGCTGCGCATCACCTGGGCTCTTTCTCGTCGATAGTGGAGATATGTCGAGATGCCAAAAAGACAAAAACTGTTGCAACGACCCCTAGTAGCGTCCTTGTTCCTAGTAGCGATGCCAGGAGCCCCTAGTAGCTTCTTGCTCCTAGTAGCAAGGCCAGGAGCCCCTAGTAACTTCTTGTTCTCTTCTTCATGTAGATATCTTCATCAAGAGGCCAAGGACAAACAGAATGTCTGCATGAAGTCTGTCTTCCTGAAGCTCCTGGACTTGTGGCAACTCGACATATACCCTGCAAGTCTGATTAACGACCTTCGACCTTGCATCAAGAATCTCCTGATCCAGCTTGTTGAAAACCTCCAACGCCTCAAAAAGCTTGTTAAATGGATTGGTATGCAGTCACCAAAGGCCAAAGGAAGCTGGAAAGGTCGTCTGGTTGACTCGCTTTGTTTGATTGCCTTTTGTTTCGACGCTTGGCTTCTTAGACTCTAAGGCTTCCCCAAGGCTTCCTGAGACCGGCCTTTGTGGCTTCATTGATCGCAGCAACAGGTGCATCCGGTTCTTTCACTCGACTGAGATGAACCCGTGCAAGGGCCTGCAAGCTGCAGGTGAACGACAGGACGGACCCGCTCTTGACATCTCAAACATGACTGCCACGTACCTTTGTGCAAAACATGTGAGCTGCCAACAAGCCACCCCAAGGTATTGAGAAAAGCACTTGAGACCATACAGAAATGTAGAATGAACGCTCTACACTTAGAAATTCTCTTGACACCCACCAATCCCTGCTGACAATTGTCCGAAGAAGTGGCTCTTTTTGAAATACAAACTGCGCATTTTGAAAATACAAGCATGAGAACTAACTACTGAGCTTGGCCTTCAAAGCGGTTGCTTCAAGTCTAGAGTCCTGCAAAGTAGTTCATGGAGAACTTTGGCTGTCTTATGTCTTGCGCTTCTACTACACGGATACTCCACGAAACAAGAATGCTCAGCATAACAAACAAGCTGTTCCTTGCCAAAGATAGTGTAAACGAGTGCTTGACTTCAAAGAAAGCGCGTCAAATAGACGGAGTCCTGCAAATCCCGCGCTAACTCCAAAGCATCCTTGACGGTCCACAGGATCTCACCAATTCGCGCCATAACGATGCGCTGACGCCAGTTTGTGAGATATGACGACGTAGCATATTGACCAGCCAGCTCAGTTTTCACTGTCTGAAAGAGGAGAGCTTCAACCATCTCCAAAGCAAGTTGCAAGGCTTGCACAGAGGTTCCAGCTGCTCCTTGTACCAGCTCATCTGCTTTTTGATGACGTGGTTCAATCTCGGCTTCCTGTTCTTTGCGAAGTTCTCTGGCTTCAGGGATTCCACCATCGGCTTCAGTGTCAGCTTCTTTTAGAATTTCGCGGACAAAGTTCGTGGTCGACTTCACAAGGGACTTTGCCTTTCCAAGCGAAAATAGAAACACAAAACTCGACATGTCTAGCTTGCTCGCGTCCTTTAAATTCTTCATTTGCTAATCGCTACTGGTAACAAGTGCATCGCTACTAGTAACAAGTGCCTTGCTAGTAGTAACAAGAAGCCATTAGAAACAAGAAGCTATTAGGAACAAGTGCATGGCTACTAGTAACAAGTGCATCGCTTCTAGTAACAAGTGCCTTACTAGTAGTAACCAGAAGCTATTAGAAACAAGAAGCTATTAGGAACAAGTGCATCGCTACTACAGCACTTCTTCCATCTTCCAACGACCGTCAAAATTTGAGGCTTAGCTTCGACTGACACACCCCGAGGTCCTCTTCTTCAAGCTCCGGATCCACTGCCATGGCTCGCGTGGAGTGACGGGTACCAACGGAGTGCCAACCAATGTCTATGGCCTCCAACCCACTAGCGATGGCCTCTTCTTTACAGCTCTGCTGAATGCGAACATGTCTCTGGAGTAGTGTCAGTGCGAAGCTGGAGCTCAGCTGGTTTTGCAACAACGGGCAACAATTGTCCTCGGAGTAAAACTCTTAGTTGGAGCACGCCTGGACAACACTGCTGCTACTACTTGCTTGTATACTCTATAACAAGAACACCTATCTGAGCTGCTGGTGGAAATCAACGGGGCACGTACGAGTAAAGCGGCTTGAAAAGCGCAAAATCTCTTGTTCCCTTGCTTGAAGAAAATATACAGCGAGGGCCTCTTCAACAAGGCTACTTTAAATAAAGGTGGCCTTGTTCAAGAGGGCATCTGTTCATTCTTCTCTTCTTTTTTAATCTGTTTTGGTCCAAGGACACCAGACCCAAATGGTCCGATGGGCTCAAACGTTTGAGGCGACAAGCTCGGCATTTGCTCAAGCTCGGATTGGTTTTCTGAGCTTCGACGTGGATCCCTGCATGGACCTGGATGTCTCGTGGCTTTGCTTTCTTGAGAATGAACAAAGCATGAGAAGGATCAAAGATCTGCCGAGCAGTGAATCAATCTGGAACTAGGTAACTAGGCGACTTCAACTGGTCCAGAACGCTTGGCCTCTTTAGGCTAAGCACTGGAGACTTTGGCACGAAATCGCCCTGATCACTCTGTCTCAGCCACTCATCTGCACTTGCCTCCGCAAATGAAACAAGAACATAGAAGCTAGTAGGTTGGAGGCCATCGCTATTAGGTAAAAGAAGCTAGTAGTTTACTTTGGACGTTTCGCTGCCTGTTGTCGCTCGGGAGAAGCTGCTGCCGAGCCTGGTGGCGCAAGCTTGTTGGCTTTCATTCTAGAAACAATCCGACAACAATCCAACCTCAAGGAAAACAAAAGTGATTTTTTGGGGCCCATGGCCCTGCCTCCTTAATTAAGTATATAGGTGCCTACTTAATTAAGGAAGGGAGAAACTTGTACGCGACGGTACCAGCAACAGGAAGCTACTACATATGGACGCAGGATAGCTCACGCTTCTTCAAAGAACCGCGCTCGCACTCATGATTTGGTTCCTAGACTTCTTGGGAAACTTAACAGACCCCCGACTGGGGTTCTTCTCTTGCTTGAGAAGCCCTTGCTCACCCCGGGCTGCCCGCGGTCTGCCCGTCTCTGGAGCTACGTGGAAAGTGTTCCATTTTCAAGCACAAGTGCAAAAAGCCTGCCTGTTGCTGAGAGCGGGAGTAGTACTTGTAGCCAGCGAAGCCAAGCGCAGCCAGGACCACCTCTGCAACACAGGGAGTATGGCAAGTCCATGATTGAACAGTTCTTTCTTTAAAGATGTTTAAAGAAGCTGGAACAAATTGTGATTGAAGTGTTTTTTTTATCCTTTATTAGTGGATGTAAAAGGACAGACGTGATCTGTGCATCCTGAAGCCAAGCGATCTTGGCGATGGGCAAGGATGATGAGGACCCACCACACAGCAGAAGACCCTGCAGGAAGTACAAAATCCCGGAAACAGTCCGGGGCAGTTTGTGCCGCATCAGTAGGGTGCAGAAGTCTAATTCAACTGCTCACATTTGTGGGCCACACAAGCTCGCATTCTCTTCAAATTGCGTTGCTTCTGCCTCCTTTGACAGGTGCGGGCGCTGGGCTAGGATGCCAATCTACGGCAGAGGACTTGTTGATCTGCTCCTCAAATCCGTCCCAGGCCTGCCAGACGCTGAATAGCAGAGCGTAATTCTACAAAAGTCCTTTTCGAAAAGAGTACAAAAAAATCCAGTGAAATGATCGATGCAAACAATACTGCATAATACTGCAACAGTCTAGATTGAGCTCGCAAGACTCTGCTGCTGACATGCCTGTTCCGGATTGCTGGGAGGTTGATAGTGCCATGTGGAGTATATCTCTGCATCAAAACCACCCTGGCGCAAGCTCTGGCGCCAACAATAGTGTATCAGTGTATATATGTGTGTGCCATGTCCACTTCATCAATAAGCTAAAAAGCACAAGAGAAGCGCAATTCGGCAAGACTCACTTTCTTTCACACTTTCACTTACTGGATCATTCCTCGAAGCAAGAAGCCTCGTTTTTGATGGCTCCACCTCTCTCGGAGACATAGCGGCTTGCAAACTTTACCATCTCCTACCAGGTGCATTTGCTGAAAAAAAGGTCTTCGTGAACTCATTTGCACCAATGGAGAATTGTGAAGCAAGCGCAATTTGCCATGTTGACAACGACATCGTTTGAAACAAGATGAGTACAGTCGGGCCTTATTGTCCATCAGCCTGCACGCAGCTCGTTAGCAAGACGACACCAACAACTCAAGCGTCGTAGGAACAAGAAGCTACTAGGGGCTCCTGGCCTTACTACTAGGAGCAATCGGACGCTACTAGGGGCTCCTGGCATCGCTACTAGGAACAGTGGACGCTACTAGGAGGAGGACCACACGGGAGGACCGACATCTCCCCGCACCCGACTTCATCACCTGCATGAAGCCTCGAGCAGTGAGCTCTGCATCAGATCCATCGGTGCCATTCACTTCGCAGCTTCCCAGCCCTGAAAACGGGCGATGGGGAGTGGGGAGCGGGCCTACGAGCGGGCTGTCACTAGTAACAAAGGGCTGGTAGTAATGGCCTCCAACCTAGTAGCGATGCCCTTTGTTACTAGTAGCGAGGGCAGGAGCTACTAGTAGCATCCTTGCTACCCAAACGGGTGAGAGTGAGCGAGTGGTTGAAGCAGTTGCTGGAGAAACTTGGAGAAACCATCTGGGTCCTCTGACCATATAAGCAGCAGAGATTCAGTGGATCACTGCTTGAACACTTGGTCTCTGTAGGAGGTGTGTTTCCCTTTTCCTGCGCATGGCTTCAAGTTTCTGGAAAGGAAAGCTTTGAAAAAGAGAGATAAACAAAACCACAAAGGACTCTGACGAAGGAGGAGCACCAAAAGTGAACTTCTCCTTCAAGACACCAAAGGGGCACATTGGCCTAATTTCAGCGAAGAACAAAAGGCACAAGTGCAGCACAAGTGCGGCAGAAGAGTCAAACAAACGGCAGCAAAAGCGGCGGGTTGAGAATCACACTGGCTTTGCGGGTCAGGGTATGCCCTGAGAATATCTACACAAACATCACAAGTTTAGTAAGAAAAGTGCGACATGTTCTTTGCTTGTCCTTCTGTCTAGTAGTAACAAGAAGCTAGTAGTAACAAGTGCCACGCTAGTAGGAACAGGTGCCTTACTAGCAGTAACAAGAAGCTATTAGAAACAAGAAGCTATTAGTAACAAGTGCCACGCTAGTAGGAACAGGTGCCTTACTAGTAGTAACAAGAAGCTATTAGAAACAAGAAGCTATTAGTAACAAGTGCCTTACTAGTAGTAACAGGTGCCTTACTAGTAGTAACAAGAAGCTATTAGAAACAAGAAGCTATTAGTAACAAGTGCCACGCTAGTAGTAACAGGTGCCTTACTAGTAGTAACAAGGTGCTATTGATAACTGTCCTTCTGACAAACTAGCAATCTCTTTTGAGTCCCGCACGGGGAGGTGCCAGGTATGTAGCAGGTTGAGCACACGCCGCCTCAAATGCAAAACGGACTCCGAAACAGCATTCCGAACGCAGACTTTTTGGGGTTCAAACCAAAGACTCGTGTGCAATAAGGACCGCCATCGGGATTTGGAGTGCATTGATTTGGCCTCGTCGCGATTTTGAATCACTATCGCTGTTAGGCCATCGCCATCGTTGATTCCTTGTGCTTTCTTGTTGTTAAATGAAACAACAAAGCTACTATAGTAGCGATGCCAGGAGCCCCTAGCAGCGTCCAATCGCTCCTAGTAGTAAGAAAGCTCCGTAGCTGGGAGGACTGCGTCGCAATGTCTTTCGACGCGCAACCAGGGCTTGCATCCATTGCTGCCTTATGTGCAACTAGGTCTGTCACAAACAGCCATTGTGCCTGTCTCAACCAAGTGCCGGGCCGGATCCACTAACCAGTGCGAGTTCCGTACCGGGTCACCCAAAAAGTAGCTCCTAAGAACGAAAGCAAAGAAAGACAACCAAAGAATGACTGCAACGACGCTTCTTCCGGAACCAGTTATACAGCTGGCACTCTTTTGGACCTCCGAAACCTGAACCTCCGGTCCTTTCAGTTCTGGCGAAGATATTCAACTTCATTAACCAAGTTTACAAGAAAAGGCTCCCAGAGTTGGACGAAGCTGCTTCCTCCAACGAAAGAAACACAAAACAAAAGAAAAAGCTCGTCCAAGCAAGGTACGCCACAGCTTCAGCCCGCAGCTGGTTACCAGAAACCTCAAACATCTCACTGCTGCTAGATTCGCTAGATTGAAAGGGCCTCTCTCAAAAGGTCTTTAGTTCTGAACAGTGCACTTGCCAGACCAAAAGGGCAGGCCATACTCCTTCTCCTGCACAAACAAAAGTGAACACAGAGTCATTAGACCATAATTGAACTCATTCCGTCCTCAGGCTTCAAGGCCATGCATCTTGGATCCTTCGCAACTCAAAGGATCCAAGAACAACCCAAACAACTGTGGAAGCGGTTGTCACGGTGGGGGTAAAGTGTAAAGGCCCTTGTGAGGTGTCCTTCTGCCAACATGGCTTTTGACATGGGGTCCTTGTGCAGCTTTCATGGCAGGCGCTTTTGCATCGACAGGCACAGATTTTTGGCCAGCAAGCACGTTTGAGTTTTTGATAGTCTCCGGATAGTGGAGGAAATCCAACATCTCGTTTCAAAGTGCTGATTCTCTAATTTGGAACCAACCGCCTTAGAGTTGCCAGAATTCTCTAAAGACTTAAGACTTGTCAAGATTTACGGCAGGTACAGAGTTGATTTGGAAGGCCACATCACCAAAAATCATTGCAAAGCCGCGTACCTGCTCTCGGTTCGGCCAATTTGGACGGAAGTGTCCGAGATGATTACTAGGAGCAAGAAGCTACTAGGTGGAGGCCACCGCTATTAAGTTGGAGGCCGTTATTACTCGGAGCCAAGGACGCTGCCGTTACTACTCCTTCTGTTTCGTTTGGGAGATTTGGATCTTGAAGTCTTGCAATCTTCACTCACCACCTCCCCACCGCTACCAACCACTAACCACTACCAACCACACTCCCTCAACGAAACCTTACCCACTTGTGTTCCAGCTTGGGACCTGGCCACCAAAACCTTTCAGAATCTGTCAGAAAATTAAGCACTGCTGGGGTCTCTTGCAAGTTATCTTTTAGTCAGATGCCTAACCAAAGTTTCTCTCCTCGCAAAGGTTCTGTGTCTCTTGGCAATATGGATGCAAGTCATACTCAACACAATAGCCCGTCACCTGCAGGGCGTTCCACATCAAATTCTAGTAAAATGATCCTTGGCAATGCGCCTGAGTAGTGACATTCCACCCGCCCGAGTCATGGCAGTCTTCGCAGTGAAACCTTTTCTTGTATTTCCTGAGCAACGCATGGGAAGACATCTGAGGCGCAAAAGTCTGCTTCCAAGCTACCCTTCGGGGTCATAACAATGATCACGCCAATCTTTCCAGCCACTGCACTTCCTGCGACTTCCACCGCTTGATTCACAGATTTCACAGATTTTAGAGCACGGCTTATAACACCGAAACAAGGCAAACACCATAAAGGCCGCCAACAGTCTTGTATCGTAAGCATGCTACCAGGACATGCCAACGAGCTGCCGCGGTGTGAAGCTACCTGGACTGTGGTTGAAACCTTTCTTAGTTCTGAGCATGCGGCTTTCCGAAAAACAGTTGAGCGATTCAACATCCCGTGATAACAACCGGGATCTCGCACGCACACTCCCTTAATTCTCCAAAAAGACCAGCCTGTTTGAGCGTTAATCATAAGGTGAGAATATAGCATCGTTTCCCCAAAGCTGCTGCATAGCTTTAGGCTCGCACCAAATGGTTTGCTAACGGTATGGGTCGGCTTGGCAGGACAAATGTGCTCGTGTTTGGGCCACCCAGTCAGCCGTTGGAAAGACCACGTCGGTTGCTTCGCACCACAACCCTCAAGAACCCTCAACAACAGAAGTCTCAGATGGTTGCACCTGCCTGCTGATCCCAAATTCCTTGCCCATCTGCATGCCACTGTCAGTGCCACATCCAACGTGTAGCGCATCTGTTAAAAACTATTCTAAAATCACGAGTGACCGCTAGGACTGCCCCTTCTGCTGAAACCAGTTCGTGCAAAGCTCTTTGTTATGAGATCAGGTTGTCTTCGCGCAGATTGTGCTGACAATCGGTGGCCCAATCATTCAACCTTTTGAATAGCAGCGATCTGTAAGGTATATGAAAACCCGCACGCCCTACTCTCATTTTCGAAAACACAATGAATTGCCTGAAGCTGACTGTCCAGACCCATTGGCCGAGTCCCCAAAGATCCAGATCAAGCTGGATTTGCTGCAGGAGCTCAGAAAAACAGCTGTTCCATCGACGCAGGACAAGCTGTCTCGGTGAAGCCACGACATTGCCAAGGCATCGGAACCTTCTGGGCAGACGTCTCGGTAGGATTGGCGTGTTGATCGGCTCCTGATGTTGAACTCCAAAACAGGTTTTGCTCTGACACTGCCAGCCCCACCAGGTGCGCTTGTTGTGCGAGGTGGGCACCGAGAGGCTTTGCAGACTACTAGCAATGGCCTCCAACCTAACAGCGATGGCCTCCAACCTACTAGTGATGGCTTCCAACTGCAGGAATTCATAACCCCGACGATAACATCTACCAACATGAGGAGTTGAAGAGAGATATACAATTGCAAAAAAAAGGACCCATGTTGGTCCAGCAAATTGTAGTGCGTGGAGAATTTAAGGGACAAAGGACAACAGGGTAAGTTGCAAAGGAAAAAGAAGGACACGAGGCAAAATCATTCGCGACTGCCCCCCCAAGTCAAGAAGTATGAATACCAGGGATAGGATAGGCAAGTAGGGAAACAAGGATGGTGACAAGAGCCATTTTGAAACGCAAATAGGTTGTGTAAGAGTTCCAAGCATCTGCTTGGGAAGTAAAGGAAAGTCATCTTGCGAAAGCCGCCCAAGAAAACAGAAAGAGAGATGGAAGACAGCAAAGTCAATGAGCATCTCTTCACACTGGCCTCTTTCCATCAGCTCCGCATGGCATGGAATTAATGCCTCAAAAAGCTGCAAACTGAGACTGAGCTGCCACTCACTGCAAAGCACTGAGCTGCCACCAGGCGACCATTGAGATCATCCAGCGGCAGGAAGTCTTTGGACGTCAAGGCCTTGTCAGTTTGGCAATCAAACGACACGCAATAGAAGAAAGGAAAGGAATTGAAAGGAAAGGAGTAACAAGAAGCTAATAGAATTTAATTCTAATAGCTTCTTGTTGCTACTAGTAAGGCACCTGTTACTACTAGCGTGGCACTTGTTACTACTAAGAAAGAGTCTCAAGGTCAGAAATTGCAAGAAACATCATGAGATCTCAATCAAAGCACACTCTCACCTCGTACTGATAGACGCACCCAATCTCTCCGGTGGGCTCCTTCACCGAGGAGTTGCAGAGGCCGCCAATGATCACCTGCAGAACTCAACCCAAGCTGCGACGTTCACCGGCCAAAGCACGATTTGACAGGTACTCCAAGGCACCAGGGACAAGTGGACTCAGTAGACTGTATCATTTGTTCTTCTCATTGCTATTCGAGTGCCTTTTGGGCTCATTACATCCTATTGCTACCTTTTGAATCTAAAAGTTGGGTTTGGCTTGCTGGCCCAAAACATCCGCACAAGCCTCCAGGGATGGCCAAAAGGCATAAAACACATCCAAAACATGTGCGACATGCGATCAACACGTTTGTTCAACACCCAGCCCAGCAATAAAGGCTTACCACTTCGCTAACAGTGACAACTTAATTTCGACGGTGGTAAGAACCTACAACTTCACTGAACACAAAAAAGGGATTCAGGATTTAGAAAATAGATCTTTAAAAAAGAACTTACCACCTCACCAAGGGCAGGTCACACACCAGCCACAAATCACTTTCACACTGACAGTACACAAAATGGCAAAGCGGACGGTGCAAGCACAACACTGCACTGCTACGGCGCCAGGCAGTGCGACAATTCCACTTCGACGGATTCTTTTGGCCCGTGGCCTCCCCCCCTCCAAATACTCAATTAAGTAGGCGCCTGCTCAATCAAGTAAAGGACCAACGTGTTCGCTCCTAGCTACTAGGATGCTACTACCTACTGGACGCAGGATTAGCTCATGTTTTTCCAGGAATTTCCTCCTTTGAAGAAGCCCTCGCACTATTGATTTGGCTCCTAGGTTCAGAGGGACACTTAATTTGTTAAACCTTTTGTCTCACACTGCTATGTTGACCTGTGCTATGTTGACCTGTGCAGGCTAACTTTGTGCAACTACGCAACTCCGCTTCACAAAGATTTGTTGACTTCGCTATGCTTCTCACTCCACTTCACTCCGAGTGTGCGTTTGCTAAGTCAAAATTATGTTACTTGACCCTGTGCAACTTAACCATGGACAATGAACAAATGAAGCGTGTGGAAGTGAAGCTGCTTGCCTTTGACTCTGTCCTGTACCACTTATATAAGTCTTCTATGTTGTCTGGGGTGTACGCTTTTGTGGTGAAAGTACGCCCAAGAAAAACAATAGCTAGAAACACGTTGTGCGTTCGCAACAATCTATGTCACAAACAATCAAGCTTCACGCTGATGATTACCAGGAAGCCCACGAACATCACCGCACTCATTGCCGCAGTGCTGCGGAACGTCATCTGGTCGTCGAAAAAGCAAGTACAAACAATGCTACACAAGTGCTGCTCTGCTTTGAGTGTAATACCATGCTCCAGATCCTGCTAACCTCCTCCGGAACCCCAGGAACTTGCTTGGAACCTGCTCCAGCCGTTTCCGGAACGTCCTCCAGAACCTGCTCCGGAACCTGCTCCAGAACCTGCTCCGATCTGCTCCAAAGTCCATACTATGGCTGAAGACCCCCAAAGCTTTGCTGTCAGAGAAAGGAAAAGGTCAGATTACTTCGGGGCCAAAAGCAAAATGCTCCTGTTTGACAGGGTCAAGTGCCTGGTCAGGGTGCTGACTGTAGTGAAGGCAGCATTTCCGTGCCCTTGGCCGCAGCTCACATATCAGGCAAAATGATATTCCAAAACTACCGTATGACAAGCACACCTGAAAGTCTTAGGCAGCCGAACGTTTCGGTGTCAGTTGGATCTGTGAATTGAGGCTTGTCCGTGCAGCTCCGAGCATCCTGGCCACAAGCTGCAGATTGTGCAAGTTCAAAATGAGGCACGCTTGCACTAATGAAAGACATTCGATCAGCACTGCAAGTGACAAAGTAAAGAAGGAAGGTCAAGAGTCGCAGCAGTTGTTGACTGTGCGAATGGAGGCTGCCTGATCCTTCTTGCCAGCGCAGCCGTCTGGATCACAAGGCTGAGGCATAGTTGGCGGGGCCTGCTCTTTCGACCCAGAAGGACCCTTTTTTGCACGGAATGTGCCTTGCTACTAGTACTGTTGCTAAGCTTGAACAAATGCGCAGTCCTTTTCTTGGCAGCCTGGGTAGGGCTTGACGCATGTCCAGGGCCTTCAAAGATCAAGGACGAATCCAAGCCACGACTAGAAAAGCTGCGAACTCTGTAACATCGGACATCTCAGTGTCAGGCAAATTTGGGCAGTCCCCATCAACAGAAAACCAGTACCATGGATGTGTGAAGTTGATCTGTGGTGAGTCCTAGCACAAGCTCAAGAACCCAGAGGGACCCAGATCCCCTATCGGGAAACGAACTTTGAGGCTCCACAGGCAGCCCTCCTGCTTGCTGATGCCGACAAAGTCACCACTCGACACAAGTTGTTCAAGGAGGTCCTGCAAAGGTTCAAACCCTGCCAACATGTCTCAAAGGAAACTGCCCTGTGGAAAAAATAAAGGTTCTTAGGTTGGAGGCCATCGCTAGTAGGTTGGAGGCCATTGCTACTGGCCATTGCTAGGTTTGTTGCTATTGTTGAAGTCCTTTTTATTTGGGTTCTTTTGATTTCGAAGCGCGCCAGTTGGCGATTCTCGGTCCAACGAGGTCGCCACACCAAAGTCAAATGCCCCGAAGCCTCACATGGAATTATGGATGAAAACAGAAATAAGAAAGACTTTAATTAGAATTGTAATTACTAGCTTCTTGTTACTACTAGTAAGGCACCTGTTACTACTAGCGTGGCACTTGTTACTACTAGCTTCTTGTTACTCAGAAGAAAGCTCTACCGCTTAAGTTTCGAACCAAATCAATCATGCGATGGGTTCAAGGAAGATCCCCCTGCCCTTAGGCGCCAAGTAGCAGTCTACTCTTACTTGTAAACTGCTCCTCATGGCCCTTAATATCCCTTGATATTATCTGCTCTACTAGCGACGGCCTCCAACCTAAGCGCGATGGCCTCCACACCTGCTCGTTTTTATTCCTAAATGTAGTTTTATAGTATCAATGGCAAAACGAAAAGCTGCAATGCTCGGCTCATATCGGGGTAGTGAGGCACCTCCAAAGCCAGGAATCGCCATCTTGCTGGGATCCTACGAGCAAGGCTGAGATCCGCAAGATCGGCCTAAGGGAAAGATTTGAAGAAAAATGGAACAAACGGTTCTCTTCATCTTTTTTCTTTAGCATCTCAGCTGGCTGTCCTTGAGGATGGTGTCTGGATTTCGGATCTTCATCCGATAGTGGGCAAAGGCATCGATGTCATACTTCCTCAAAAGTGCCACCACGAAGGAAACTCATGGTGAACATGCAAGTGACAGCTACAAATCCAAAAATGACCAAAACAAGAGCACGAAACACAAGCTCCTTGTCTCACGCTCAGGATTCCCTGCCACATGTTCCACAATGACCTCTTGGTGAACATAACCTCAGCAGCTCAGGCTCGAGTTGGCAAGGTGCCTCATTGCAAAGAGCAAACGGTCCCTGTAACCAAGAGCGCAGCGCAAGACTCCCAGCACGTCGGCCAAGTTGTTGTTGGACACTGGTAAAGTCTCCTAGACAAATCTCTGAGGGATGCGTTGTTCTCCAACTCCTAAGAAGGCACCTGGATGTCTTTCTGACAAGACCTCTCTGTGAAAAGACACATAAACTTCAGCCAAGCATCTTTGCCATCTTGTGGCTTTGTCATTGCTCTGTACAAGTCCACTGTCTGGACCTGGCTATCCGCCTTCACCAGGTTTACGCCTGTGAACAGAAGAGAAACCTATCACACAGTGTTGCTTTAGGGACTGAAGAGAATTGGCCTATCGCCAGAAAAGCCGCACATAGCCCTGCACTCGCAGTTGCATCACTTAAAGTCTGTGCCAAACCCCAAGTGTCCCATTGTTCTTTCTCAGATCCCAACGCATGGTCAGGATTTTCGGACAGCAGAACTCAAGTCAGCTGAGCCAATAGAAAAGGGTCTGAAAGTGAAAGCTAATTTGGCATGTCAGAATTGCAAACACAGCTTGCAGGCAACACCCTGAAATGCAACTCCACCCCTGATTTATCCTCTCCACAGCGCATTGATTTGGATCTCCATATCTGCAAAATCACCGCACGGAAGCTGGTGCCGCGCAAAATGAAGAAGGCTTCAGAGCGCCTAGCTCTCCCGATGCCTTCACAATCTAAGCACCTGTGTTCATCATCAGACATATGTTGTCTCCTTTCAACAGGATCCGGCCTGCGTCTCGAAAGGCAAACTTTTCAACTTGAAAAGCTTACAAAAATGTAGCATCCTTGCTACTAGTAGCGATGCCAGGAGCCCCTAGTAGCGTCCTTGCTCCTAGTAGTAAGGCCAGGAGCCCCTAGTAGCATCCTTGCTACTAGTAGCGATGCCCTTTGTTACTAGTAGCTTCTTGCTCCTAGTAGCGTTCTTTGCTCCTATGGTTATATAACTGACAAAAAGAATGCACACAACGATTTGATTGCTGCAAGTATGCTCGTTCTAAGCTCAGCTTCTCGCCGATCGCACGGCGAGTCTTCTTCTTCACCATGATTTCCTCACAAGGCCATTCCGACCCCTCTGAGCTTCCTGAGCTACCACAAGAATTCTTCTCATACGGTGCAGGGCAGCAGAAAGTCCTCCGCATCATCAATCACTAGATTCATGTACCTCCGAATTGAGCCCCAAATCTAAGAGAAATGCGTTGGCTTTTGTAGCACGTCAAGAAGGTAGATGGTAAATGCCGGATCACACTGAACTTCAATGCTCAACACATGCAAGGAGTACTCATCGAAGCCCAGAATCCTGCCCTCAATTCGCAGGTCCGCTTGCTCATGGAGCCACACCTGCACGAATCCAAGAAACAGCTTGCTCATGGTTCCAATGTCAAAAAAAGGAACAAGCTGCAACTTTGGGCTTTTGAAGGCCTGAACACGAGACCTGTTCTGCAAATATCTGAAGATCTGGTTGATGGGAAGAGTCCTACAGCTTGCATGGACAAATTTGCAAGACAAATGTTGTCCAACAGATCCGAGAACAGCCTCAAGTTGATCTGATCAAATGATTGAAAACCGGAACCTGTCCAGAACCTCTTCACAAAGCCCTTCTCTTGGCTGCATGAAATTTGCCAAGGTTCATGATTTTCTGAAGCTTCTTGTTGCTGATAGCCATGGCTACTAGACTACACTGCCTTCCGGCCCACCCACGTGTCTGCTCGCCTGCGCCTTCTCCCACTTCTGCTTGAGCCGTAAAGTGCGGAATCTGCTAAGGGTAGCGTCCTTGTGCCTAGTAGTAAGGCCAGGAGCCCTTAGTAGCGTCCTTGCTCCGAGTAGCGATGCCAGGAGCCCCTAGTAGCGTCCTTGCTCCTAGTAGCGATGCCAGGAGCCCCTAGTAGCGTCCTTGCTCCTAGTAGCGATGCCAGGAACCCCTAGTAGCGTCCTTGCTCCTAGTAGCGATGCCAGGAGCCCCTGGTAGCATCCTTGCTCCTAGTAGCGATGCCAGGAGCCCCTAGTAGCATCCTTGCTCCTAGTAGCGATGCCAGGAGCCCCTAGTAGCGTCCTTGCTCCTAGTAGCGATGCCAGGAGCCTGTGGTAGCATCCTTGCTCCTAGTAGCGATGCCAGGAGCCCCTAGTAGCGTCCTTGCTCCTAGTAGCGATGCCAGGAGCCCCTAGTAGCGTCCTTGCTCCTAGTAGCGATGCCAGGAGCCCCTAGTAGCCTTGCTCCTAGTACCCTTTTCAATCTTTCATGCTTTGATCTCGTTTCAGCTTGCCAAGCTCTTTTGCGGTGCGAGCATGGTGTGTTGCAAAGCAATGCGAAGCAGCGACGTGAGACACGTTCTCAAAGCTTTGAACTTTCCAACTTCAAAGTGACTCTGTTGTGGCGCTACTAGGGTAGAGGCCATCGCTATTTAGGCAGGAAAGCTTTGAGAAACATCACTAAGACTGTCCAAGCTGCCTTGTAGCCTTGCGACTTGGAATGCAGCCCAAGCCGTCCCCTTGCCTGCCTCTGCTTCTGACATGGTCTATAAGTCTAGGTTATAGCCTGATCTTGGCTTCATTCAAAATGCAAAATGGCTGTAGGAGGAAACCAAGAGCAAAATCTAGGTACAAAACTTTGGTATCATCAGTGGTCGCCATGGAGGGCAGTAGCAAGATTACTAAGAGAAGGATTTCGGCAACACCTTCATGATGCCGGCTCTCGGGCTGTCGCAAGGGTCAAAACGAATTCTGCCGGCCTTGGAGCGGATTCAAACAGCGAGAGCAAATAACCCAAGGCATCCCATCAAGCTTAAGAACTTTGGGAATACTAAAATGGGCAAGGCTTTCCTGAGCCAAACTTTGATGTACTTGTTGAAAAGAATATGGTTGCCCTGACTTCCTGTCGCTTTCAGGGCTCTGATGGAGTCAGGCTGTGCCACCCTCCGTAGACAGCAACACACAATCCAAAACCAAATCACACCACTACACGTTGTCTCTGTTCTCTGTCGGTGCTCAGGGCTGTATGCTGTTTACGAGACCTCGGAGTACTCGCTTCGTTGCAAATAGTTGTTTTTCAGACCTTCTTTTGGCATCGCACACCATTAATGTATTTTTGTTGCCTCAAATGACATAAAAGTTCATTCTGAAGTAAGTTTCTGTGGCTGTTTCCGTTCCGAATGGTGTGCAATAGTGTACACCAGGCTTCGTATCAAAACTATCGACAAAAAGTCCAGTTCCCTAGCTTCTGGTGAGCTAAATTCCTGTGGACAAGTTGGACTTTCTATTTCGATGTCTTTTTTCAACTGTCTGTTGAGCTCCCAGCCAGTGTCAGGGCCGTGCGTTGGAAGAAGCATTGCTAGAGCCCTCTAAAGGGACCTTATCAAAAAGGCCCTTTATTGTGTTTCTTCGATTTTCTTGGTCTGTCGTTTGTCGTGGGTTGGAGGCCACCACAGGCCTGTGCAACAGGCTTCTGCGTGTCGGATGCCTTGAATGCTAACCCTGGCAACGGGCAGTCTTCATTTGCTCTGTGGCTTTTATCAGGTTTGTTTACATTTGGTTACCCTCCTTAAGGCTATGGCATAAGCTCATAGAGCGAATTCAGTACGCGAGACGACTAGCAGTGACAAGGCAACCAAGTGCCACAAAGCGCTTTACAGACGCAACACTTTGGATTCGACGGTATGCCAACCCCATAGGGGTGCAGTGAACCTGTCAGACTGTCAGAAAGCGGAACAATAAAGAACCTTTTCACGCGGTGATGGACTTGTAGGTGGAGTTGGGCAGCAACTTCCAGAAACGAAACTGGTGCGCACTTGCACTACGCATGTCCAAACAACATGTGTCTTTGCGTCTGCCTGCAAGAGAAGAATGCCTTGAACAAGATGAGGTACCTTGTGCATGCACTAGACCTGGACCTCCTGAAGAATTTCACAAGCTCCTCTTGTCCTCTGCGGGTGCACATTTCAACGAAGGCATTGACCATGACATGTGATTGAGGTCTTTCCTACGGACCTTTTTGCAATGACGTTACTAGGGTCTCCTGGCCTTACTAGGAGCAAGGACGCCTGAAGTAAGGAGGCCAAATACAAGGACCACGGTCCGGCCGGCACACACTAGCCAAGTTACACAGAGCTGACTCTCATGTGACTGTTGACCACGACATTGGGACTGTGTTGGTGACACCCTCCTCACTTCGCAAGGAGAACAGGACTGCATTGGCTCAGTGTCGGGGAGAGGTTGAGGCATCGGGCCATCTCCCTTTGACTTGGTTGAGCTGCCATTCATTCTCCAACCTGATAGCGATGGCCTCCACCCTACTAGCGATGGCCTCCACCCTACTAGCGATAAGATTGTGGTATGACTTGGGGTCAGCTTGTCCACAATCTTATTTTCCTTTCAGTCCGACAAACTGCCGGAGAAGATTCAGGCTTGTGCACAAGGCATGCTGCCAGACGGGATCTCCTTAAACTCTCGTATCATGCATTAAGTGTGTGCCTCTTTCCATGTGAGGTCTTGCTTGAAAGCAAGGAGCTCATCGCAGCTTGGATCTTATATTCCGGTATGTATCTGTGGGCACATGTGATGACTAGGGTGATCTGGAAGCAGCTTTGCCAGGCAGAGGATTGGGAGCTTTCAGCTTGGTGCTGGCACGCTAGGAAGAATTCCATTGCACTTTATCAAAAAAAAATCGAGGCTTCAAAGCGGTGCACACAGGGGCAGCGATGAGTCTGGCAGAGCGGCAAAGCTGCAATCGGAGCATCTAAACAAGCAACCTATGCACCTTGCCAGCTGTTTGGGTGTAAAAGGAATCGCCCCTATCTTCAAAAGAAAGAGTTTTCCACGCTGCACCTGAGAGCGTGGCAAGTGACCACAGTCATCCTGCCGCTCCCAAGCCTTCAAAAACAGAACAAACAAGCGCTTGTTGCTGTCCCTTGCCACAAAGAGGGCAATCACTACGTATCACGACCATATTGCTTTGAAGTCTCCAGCAAGTCTCCAGTTCTCATCCGCAAAGTTACAAAGGCTGAGTGCTGGGCTCCCCAAGCATCATCACCACGACGAACAACGAGACATGCAACCTAGCAGAAGAAACGGGACAAAGCAAGGTGAAGAGGAGTGAAGCATCGCTACTAGGAGCATGGACGCTACTAGGGGCTCCTTCATCGCTACTAGGAACAATGTTTGCTACTAGGGGCTCCTGGCCGTACTACTAGGAACAAGAAGCTACTAGGGTCTAAGGAGAAAATGCAACGCTCTCAACAGCCTGCCGTGGAGTTCAACAGCCTGCCGTGGAGTGCTTCCCCCATTGGGTCTGCCCTTTCCTCCACGCCATGCACACCTCTCACGGATCTCCCATGTCACCATGCACATTCCTTTGGCATCAAGATCAGTTACTCAGTAAGCTCAAGACCTATTGGACTCTGCTTCAGACTTCACTCATGTACTGACCGGATCTTTCTGGGCAGATATTCCTGAAGATGTTTGTACAAAGTTAAGAAAATGTTAAAAATAGACTAATTTTTGCGGTTTTGTTCTTTCTTTGTCTTCTAAATCCACTGAGCAAACTCCATTCCCCTTTGCCTCGCAGCCCGGCGAGACGATTCATTTATGGCGAACAAGGTCGCAGCCTAGGTCAAAACATCAAGGAATGAAAAAGCATTGGAAACGAGAAACATCAATCCACTTATTTCATCACTTGTTTCTCTTTTTATTCAATACAAATCATCTCAGCAGGGCTTATGAACTTCTAGGATTCTAGACTGAAATTTGACAAAACAATTTCAAAAATTTGACAAACAATGTCCTGGAATTAAGCTTCCTTCAGGACCGCTGCCCCGCCACTGCCGGTGAGAAAGAGACCGCTCCTGAAGCAAACTGTACGTTTGCTTTAGGAAAATACAATGATAAAGTCTAGGTGTGTTTTTCCTATGCCGACATGTTTGCGCCTAAGGAACGGGGCCCACAGGCCGCCAGCCTGTGAAACAAAAGGAGCGGTATCGCTACTAGTAGCTTCTTGTTACTAAGTAATGGCCTTGTTACTAGTAGCGATGTACTTGCTAGTAGTAGTGTACAAACTCGGAGCGTAAAGGCAAAATCGAGACGCGGGCTCTGACGAAGGCTGTGACGAGGGGCGCCATGAAGGCTTTAGTCGCTATCCTGACACCTGAGCAAAGCTTGCAAATCCGAACCAGAAACGTTTACTTGCAGCAGCTGGGGATGCCACTCCGAATCGCACTGGAGATGATCATGGTCCTCAACGTTCAAGTGAGACAGCATAATACTGTACTTATCAGTTTTTGGTCAACTTGTGTGTGTTGAGCGACTTTGCCTCTGCGGATGTGGAGCACTCGGATGTTCCACTGCAGGTGTAATCTGATGAGATGACATAGTTGCCTGGCCACCAAAGGAGCAAAGAAGCTACTAGGAGCAAAGGGCATCGCTACTAGGAGCAAGAAGCTAGGGGCTCCTGGCCGTACTACTAGGAGCAAGGACGCCACTAGTAACAAAAGGTTGGACAAGTTCCTTCCGTTCACTTTGAGACTCGGAAAAACTCTCGCTTGACACTCGCCTCGAAGAGGCGCAGGTGGGCCCATATCGAACTCGAGCAAAAGCCTCAATGACGCTTGAAAGGCCAAGAGATCTTCGTTCCCGAAGGAACCTTGGACTCTGACGCGGCGTTCAAGACGGGGCACTTGCGAACCGAGATGACCTTCCACGATTTTGCGCTTATATATTGCAGAGAAAAGGTCCAAAAAAGAACTTGTCTGCTTAATGCCACTCTTTGCCTGAAATCCCAATCGAAGAAGGGAGCATGCCAGCCCCTCACCTCAGCATATGAAAGGAGCGAGTTGAAATACTCCATTCACAGTTTCTTTGCTCAAGCTTCTGATTGCTCAGACAGGTGCAACTTGCATGCTCCGGACTTAAGCCCATGATGATCTTTCGTGTGCTACAGGCCTTGGGTGGCAACGAGTCTCACCAAAAAAAAGGGAGTGAGACCTGACTAGAATCTTGGAAGCCTCTAGAAGTGTCACTAAATCTGGTCGTCCATGCCTCAGCCAGGTCCAATAAAGTCCGGATTGCACTCTTCGTTGCATCTGAGATGCCTGCTGGACGAAGATTTGCTTTTCGTTTTGCCAAATTTCACAACTGATTGAGATCTTTCCCAGCCTGGTGCCTCACCTTCTGACATGAGAGTCGCGTACAAGAGACTGTTTGCCACATCCCTGGCACAAACCTCAAGGGAAATCTGCTAGAGCGGCTTCTCCACTGTCACATGGTTTCCTTGCTCAGAGCTCCACAAAACCAACTCCAGCGCTTACAGAGCCCTGGCAACACAGAAACCACTGCAAAGAATGCGGGACTCGGTCTCATCTTCGAATCGCTCCCTGTTGAATTGGTTGTATGACGGAGTCGGGTGCACAGCAGCACTCGATACCGCTACACTGCCAAGCTACATAAACAGCTCTACAAACTGGACAAACTTGTCATTGGCCTTCTCGAACGACCAAAGCTCCATAGGCATGGCTCGAAATCCGAGCCGATCTGGTAGTCCGGAGTCCCCTCCCCCACACCTCACTGACAAACAAAACTCACTGACAAACAAAAGAGGAGTCTTCCCTAAAAAACTAGGAACCAAATGAATAGTGCGAGCGCTTATTCAAGGAAGCTTCCCCCGCCGTCTTTAGGGCTGCGGGGGGAGCTTCCTTGAAGAACGTGAGCTATCCTGCGTCCATACTAGTAGCATCTTAGTAAGCCATTAGCTACCGTTTGCTGCTAGCTACTTCCTACCTAGCCTCCACTCGCGGCCTACCCTCCATTAAAAAAAAAAATGGAATGCCGCTGAAATGAAAACCTTGGAAGATCTGCGGCAAGCGACGCCGAAGCATGTGGGGGAGGGCAAAGACTGCCATCCTGCCCATTTAGAACAGCTTGGAGTTGACACAGTACCTTGCCTAAATCTCTATAATGGCCAAAAATATGTGAATACGCCAAAGACAAACAAAAGGATGTAAAAAGCAGGCCAAGTTGTTCATATCCTGCTCTTTAAGCAGAAAGAAACTGCAAAAACATAAAATGTAAGAAGGTGCACAAATCTAAAATGCACAAATCTTACAAGCATGTTCAACTCTCCGCAAAGCTAGCAAACTAGTAAATGAAAATGAACAAGACACATCGTGCATCCAAGGACAAGTTTTCTGACGAGTCAATTTCTGATGATGCCTCGTCATCAGCGCCCTCGTCCTTTGACCAAAATGTGCGGTAAAGATGTGCATCCATTAATTAGCACTTGTTTCTACTAGCTTCTTGTTACTACTAGTAAGGCACTTGTTACTAGTAGCGATGCACTTGTTTCTACTAGCTTCTTGTTACTACTAGTAAGGCACTTGTTACTAGTAGCGATGCACTTTGTTTCTACTAGCTTCTTGTTACTACTAGTAAGGCACCTGTTACTACTAGCGATGCACTTTGTTTCTACTAGCTTCTTGTTACTACTAGTAAGGCACCTGTTACTACTAGCGATGCACTTTGTTTCTACTAGCTTCTTGTTACTACTAGTAAGGCAC